AGTAGTCTGGCAAATTTGGTAAGATGATTGGGATTGTTAGCAATGTACGGTATAAACTCTTGAAATAATGAAAAAAAATTGACTAATTATTATAAAATGAACTAATTAATTTTGTGGACAATGACGAAGTACGAGTATTCTAGTCAATTTAGATGTAATATAGAACAAAATATTCTTCTCTATATATGTACGCTTTTTTATTAAAGCATTTTTCATGAAATATGTTGAATTTGCCAAAAAACAAAAAGGAATACAGTTCCTAATTTTCGTTTTGTTAAAAATTTTAGATTGTATAAAAGATCAGGCGTGCAGAAATAGTTTTAAATCTGTTAATTAATTATGTACCTATTATATATATATAGTTTTTCAAGGAAACCTTAGTATATCTCTTATACTTTAAACCTGCTGAAGCAAAATATACTAATCGTAATCATTAATGTAATAAATTTGTGTTTCAGGTGTAGTGGCAAAATTAGTTTAGTTTAATAGCAACTTCTAAATTTTAAGGACTATAATTTAAGCCATAAAAATATTATTAAAATTATCAACAAAATTTTTACCATAAAGTATACAATATCTATACAGATTGACATTCCCATGTTCTACTAGTTTTAGAGGTAAAGTGTTCTCTCGTACACATATAGGATTTAAAACAATTTATTTTATATAAATGCAAAAACTAAAACTATAAATTACTGTTTCAATAATTAAATTCTATATTTAAAACATTATTTCTGTTGACGTCCTTTATTAAACATAATGGTGGCTAATATCAAAAATTTGTTTGAAATTTATTATGTAAAATCTTTATTATTTTACGATATTAACAATAAAAGCTATCATAAAATTCTATTAAAAAATTTATTTTTAGTATTCAATTTATCTAATATGAATTTAGAAATTCAAAATTTTATTGATAGACAAATTACTCAAAAAAAACCAAAATTGATATGAAATAAATTGTTGCACATAGTTGGACAACGTCTTTCAAATATTTATTAATGATATTTTTTTGAAAATTCGAAAAATTCACTTGCTGACACCTCATTTCATAAAATGGAAGTATGACTTGTTATATCAGCAATACGAGTTTATAATTTAAAATATTCAGATATAAATTTTCATGAAAATCGGTTTTGTCGAACTTGGGGTCTATTTGAGATGAGTGCACAGACCAACAGACATCTCTCTGAAAATAGTTTATTTATGCTTCCCTAGTGTATTGAGGAAATCACCAAATTTTCACCAAAATCTCAACAATCTCAACAATCAATTTTCACCAAAATCTCAATATGCAAAATTTGGTGTTTTTACATAACCTCCTATATTGTAAGCAATATACGGTTGGTAATAAAGTTAATGACGTAATATTTTTGCACTTATCTATAAATATCAGTAATTATTAATTTGAAATAAATATTGAAATACTGATTACATTTTTGAGCAAAATTAAATAATAATTATGGCTATATTTAGTCAAAATATGATCATAAAAATAATAACGAAACAATGTCTCATTAATATCAAATATAAAGTGAAAAATCATAAAAATAGGTACTATAGCAGTAAGATTTTTCTAAAGTCAATTCCCTCATTATGAATTTGAAGAGATTTTTAACCAAAATCTCGGCCATTTTCAATAATATTTCCTGGGATATTACTGTTGAGATAACCGCGAACACTGTGCCTTTACATGAATAATACGCTATATCAAATGGTGATATTTTAACCATTTCTAATCTTGATCAAGATTGGAATCAAAAATTTGGGAGAACTTCTAATTACTATATCTATAAAACAAAAATGTCTAAAATGTAATACGAGCTCTTACATTGAATATTGAACACCAGCTTCCTCAATATATACATAAGTATTATTTATTATGAACAGGTTCCAGAAGAAACAAGCTTAACCGCTGCATATTGTAAATTATTTATATACAGGTTCTAATTGCAGTCCAAACAGCTCCCAATTACAATTAAACTTTTATAAAAAATTTACCTATGGTTAAGATAAAATTTTTAATTTTGTGTATATTTTGTGTATACATACGTATATAGCCGAAATTTATATATACATTCAGAAGTAGATACATATACAGTTATGCATTACATATATTTGTAAGAAATTTATTAATACTGTACACCACTAAGCCATAAATTTTGAAGTTATTCGTGCGTTAAATTTTATTTATATAGAAAATAGTTGTAAACAAACAAAACAATTTTTATTATACACCAACTTACTTGCCACTACTATACAAGTACCATCATTCTATTTTTACAATTTATTGGTTACTCACCTAAAGTATACTATATATATAAAAATTTTTATATTAAGTGATAGTGATTGTCGTTTTAATCATTTTTGTTTTTTCACTCTTATTCGATAAAAAATCGATTACGTCCCATAAAAAATCGATTTATCATTTTTTTTTTCTATTTTATGAAAATAGAAATCACATAAAATTCTTGACGCCTCTACATTTCTATATTATGGTTTCATTGTATATTCGTGTAATATAGTGAAATGCTATTTTAGAAATCAGAACATTTGACACATTTTTTGAAATGTCATCAAAAAAAATTTAAAGAGAATAGTGCGTAAGAGCAATATTAAACAATAAATCTGGTTCGATCAGCATATAACCGACCGTATGGTAGGTTGTCAATTTAGTGAAAGTGTTGCACAGGATTATTAAAATGATATTTAAACACTTCTTTCCAATTTTAAGGAGGCTAGTAAGATTTTCGTTAACATACCTAGAAAAATATACATTTGATTCGTAGTAGAAGTTGACTTTGCGCCATCCCTGGAAAATTCATCAGTTAATTCTGAAAGCATATAGAATTCGAATATTAAATATCAAGAAATTTCCTAAATTAGTTCCTTGGATACGGTAAAAAAAGGTAAAATCTACTTTTTTTTCGGAGTCCGAGCACTGAAAGAATACAGTTATAAGTTCAAAAAAGTTATAAGTACACTGTAACTTTTTAACTATGCTTGAATACTCTGAATGTACCCTGAATTTAAACAATTAAATTTCAAGGAAGTTAGTTAATTATTTCTTTTATAATATCGAAAATGTAAAATCGGCCCAGAAAATGTCCCAAAAATTTGATCAAGCCGAACTTAAGATACACGCATACACATAGAGACCAACTGACTGGCAGATTGACAGATCGGCAAACAGACTTACCAATAGACTGACAGAGGGATAGAAAGATAGACAGATCAACATATCTTTAAAAACACATTATTAACACTTTCCTGCTATAAAGAAGTGTGTTTGCGCCGAAAACACGAAAAGGGAAGTTTAATGCCATCGCACAACCTCTCTTATTTTGTGCAATGAGGTCGGTAATAATATGAAAATTATTTATGACATCTCTCTATTTGTCTTCAATACTATAATGTTATGTAACTTGTGTGAGGGAATATAGCTATTTTATTTGCAGGATTCGCTATACGAGTATAATATTTCTGTTATATGCGTGAGTATTCACAGTTGGGAATTTAATATGAAGACATCAATTTGAACAAATTATTTTCAGTTCATTGAATGAATTTATTTTGTTTTCTTTACTCATTAATGTGGAATGTAAAAACAAAAGTTATAAAATAATAATAAATTGTTATGTAACAAGGATCTTTAGAAAAACACAAAAAAATATTTAAAGTAATAAAATGTTTAAGATTTTTAATTTAATAAGGAAAATTAAATTTGATCAGGAGTTTTTAGGAGTGTGGGGCAATGTTTAATAACTTTAAAAATATTTTCATCCTGCGTACGTTCTTAATCGTTTTTATAATATTATAGAAATTATTTTCGACACAATTCCTTTCACAGTTTCCACAGTTTAAATATAGGGGGTTTTCGTATTATTCAGTTCTAGAATAGTTCTAGCTGTAGAAAATATAGATCGTTCGGAAATTATTGGCTGCAATAAACTGCATTCGGAAATTCAATCTGCAACAAAGTAATGTTTGAAATGTAGCGCAGACCTCTAGTATAAATTTTGTCGCTGCCTCATGAAATTTTTTTTTTTAAATTTAAAATTCAAAAAAAATTCTAAATTTCAAAATGTTCTATTCAGATATTGAAGGGTTAATAAAGTAAGTTTTCTTTAAGTTTTCACTTACTTGTTAAAATTTCCTTATTTTGCAGCTAATTGGAAGCGAAAAGTTTTGGGATACAATTTCATAAACAATGTCATTTTTGTTATTTTTGAACGATAGATTATTTGGAAGTTTCAGAATTTGCAGACCGCGTAAACAAAAAAAACTTTGCTAAAGTTTTTGCATACTGTTTAACGCTGCGATTTATAGAACTCTCAGCGCAGTGTGCATAAACGAAAACCCCCATAATATTTTCTTATTAGCAGAAGTCCACTTAAAGTAATAATAGCAATAAAGTGCGCTCTGCATTGCAGATTACCTTTCCGAGACGGAACTACTCTAATTTGCACATTATATTTTTAAAATTACCAAAAAACAAACTTCTTTTTTAAGTTACTATTTATTATAGATCCTGTTTTTTTTAGACAAAAACAAAAGCGAAGTAAAATTTTTGTAGATAATAGGAAATTTGCATTTATATATGACTTCAATGAAACATTATTCACGCTGTTACCAGCATAATTCCCAAAATCCGTTGCTCCACCCTCAAACATAGCATATACGTAACAACGTTTTGAGTTGGAAGGTTTTCTTGACTACATGACGTCGCTACATCCCAAATATAAATGAAAATTTCTTCTTGGGAGAGTACAGGGTTATATACTAAAACTTTAAATATAACTATATGAATAAGATTTTTTCAAGTGATTTTTATTATTTATAATTCTTGTGATTTTACAATTATTTCTTCTTTTATTTTATACTGATTATTATATTTTATATTGAAAATATTATAGCACAGACAATAGTATACTAAAATTACTAATATTTTAGGATTTCAAACAGAAAATAATATTTAAATAAATATTAATTTCAGAAATTTAACTTTTCACTTCTGGTTTCTTTTCAGTATTTCCAATTACTGTTGCCATATCGAATTGTAATAAAACAATTAAATAAGATGTTGCAGCACTAACAGCCTAAATGAAAAAAAAAATTGTAAATTATTGCTTTTGTTTCATATTAAAAATTGAAATATTACTGAGAAAATAAATGTATAATCTAATGAAAATAAACCGATTCCATTAAAATGAAAATATTGTTCCCAATGTAAATATTGTAATGTAAAACATTTCATTTTATTATAAAATTCATCGTTCCCCAGCATAAATGATGGTTTCTTTTGCATTATCTCATGTATTAATAATGCAGTTTTTCTTGATTCAGTTTGTGCTTTACAACATAATCTTAATACTAAATATGCTGCAACCTTTAATAAAATCAATAAAGAAATAATTAATTAAATTAAAGTAAAAATATAAAAAATAAAAATAAATATGTTGTACAGGGTATTTCGCATTAAATGGCAAATAATTTCAGTAATGATTATATTTGATCAATTTCCAGCAAAACACATTGAACACGTTTTACAAAACTATGAGAGTTAGAGGAAAACTTTATATAAACTAACTTTCAGTTCTCATCGTACCGCATCGAAAAAAAAATAGTAAAAATTTTCGAAAAATTTCAAGTTTTTAAAAAAAAATTATAAAAAAGAACAAAAATTCTGATTTTAACGAACATTATCTCGAAAACTACAGTTAAAATCGAATTTACTATAAGCACTTATATATACGAAAAATCTGGAACCTTTTTTTTTCAAGACTCAAGCTCGAAAACGAGTATATCTGCACCCTCTCACCCCCCATTCTCATACAATTTTTTGCTGTAAATTGATTAAGGAATCATCCGTGAAATTATTTGCCACCTTATAAGTGACACACCCTGTATATTTAAAATTTTTAAAATCTAAATTCTCCTTTCACAAAATTATTATTAGTTTAATTTTTGTTAATAAATTTACCAATAAAAATGTCGTCCATAAAATATATGATATTGCCAAATTATCAAAATATGAATTTTGTCCACCAATTGTAAATAAAACTTTTGTAGCTAAAAATATTCCAAATATACTAATTACAAATGTTGATGTCATATATACAACAATTGCAGTTGCATATTCTTTATTTGTTATAACACCCAATGTACTGATCTTTTCATGAATTGTAAATAATTCTACCATATGTTGTTCACAATTATAACTAAAATTATAATTAATAAAATGAATATTTCAAAAATATAAATTTTTTTATTATATATAAAATTTTACCTTTCATGTACTGGTCCTAAAATACTATCAATATTATCGGAATCATAATCAAAATCATCATCATCATCACTATCAACTAAATCATCATTATTTTTATCATTTTTATTATTATTATCATTATTATTATTATTGTTATTATTTTCTTTTTCCATGTTATCAATTTTTGTTCTTGCCTTTAAATTATCTGTATCTGAATTAAATTTATCCTTTTTACCATTTAATTCAATATCAAATATTTTAACTGAACCAATTTTCTTTGAACATTCTCGATTTATTATTTTAAATATGAAATTGATTTTTTCAAAACGATTTCCAATTTCTTGTATTAATAATGTAAATATCAATTGCATTAGACTACTTGATATAAGTGGATATGAGCATGTTATACCCATATTTACATATAAAAGTGTATTATTCCTATATAATATATTAATGAATAAATAAATTAATTAATTATAGAATAAAATAGATGTGCTTACTTGTTTGAATGTACTTGATAAAAATAAAAATCGAAACCAATTGATGAAAAAATTGCTAATAAAAGAATAATGCTCATAATTATTTTAACATAATCTCTTCTTAAAATATTTTTTTTAATTGGATTGCATATATTAAAGCGTGCATCAAATTCGGCAAGTTCATCAAAATAATGCATAAAAAATTTCTTCTTATTGATTACTGATAATAAAGTAACAAAATAAACGAAAATTCCAAGTAAAAAAAATGTCATACTCCCAACAAAACAAATGTGCCGGCATTCTTCAGCTAAAAGAAAATATATAAATAAAATTTAATAATGAATTTTGCTTTAATTATTAAGAAAATTTTAATTATTAATTTTTTAGTTCTGTATTTGATTCTGATAATTGTTCGAACTTATTTTTAATTTTCCAATTCCAATAGGGTCTAATAATCAACTTATGGCACCTACTCTGGTGAAATCTATATTATTGTGAATACTTAATTGAGTACTTTGTTATGAACACTTAGAGAATATTCAATTTTTACTAAAAGTTGTTTAAAAATTTAGATTTCTTATATGTTTTACGTTGTCAATATAAAAAATTTTTAAAATCTTCTTTTGTAATCTAGGTTTTCAGTAGAATTTATTAACATTATTATTTTATAGACTTCCATATATTTTATAATTTTTTGTTCGTAAGCTTACAATGTCCTTATTACAGTTAAATAAATATAGCCATACAGGTGCAATAGGTAATATATATAAGAGTATGTTACCTATCACCTAATTGAAAATTAAGTACTTGAACAACATTTTTGTCTATAGTTATAAATATTATAATACTTACTAAAAAATAATTTCTGATGATTGAATAATGTGTAAATAATACATCCAGTATATATGACAAAATTCGAAAAGATTAAAGTATATTCGCCAAAACTTGTAGCCTCCTTACTTCGATAATTGAGTGGCAATATACCAAAAAACTGAAAAAAAAAAATCAATTAATAAATAAATTAAGAATTTTTATAAATTTTTTATTTTAAAATAGTATTGAATTTTAGTTTGAATATTTTTACTCAATAATTTCCTAATGATGTTCAAATTATATTAGGTTTTTTAATTACATACATTAATGTTAAGAAAAATTTTGCATATTTTCAGGCGAACCACTTTTATTAATATTGCATACAATGTTTTCACTATTGCAATGATGCGAGTAAGTATATGCGTATTTATTATTACTTTTACTTCTTTTAATAATTTTTAGGGTTTAATTTTGCCTATTTAAGAATTTCATGGAAAAAAAAGTAACAATGCGAATTTATTGGAAGACCGAACTATAATTTAAGGACTGCGTATAATGAATAATAAAAAATTCGAAATATACAAGTTCTAAAGGAATTTAATATTATATTTGCATAGAATGTAAATGAAATAAAGTCCAAAATCTTAATTACATATTGATTTTAGGTAATTAAGAGTTTCCAAATTTGTTACATACAAAGTTCCAATGAATTAATTATTATTATCGAAAATATTTTAGTGAAAAATAACAATTTCCTGCTAATTCTATAACAAAATTGGTTTAATACTAAAAATTAATAGAATTTTAAATTAAATTAATTAAATTAATTGATAATTAGGTAGTAATTTATACATTGATTAATTACCTGTGCAATTGGAATTAAAATCTTTTCAACGTTAAAATTAACATTCATTTTTACTTAATTTTTTTATTGTAATCTTTTCTATTTTTTTCCAAACAAAAATTTAATATTAAGAAAAATTTTATATTTTAAATAATATAATAATTATATAATATTAAATAGATTATTATTAAAAGTAAAAAATTATATTTCAAGTATTCTCCAAAATAACTTTATGATTTATGGTAAAATAACTATTAAAATTATCCTTTAATTCTTAAAATTCTAAAATTTTTATTAAACATATACGGCGTAATGAAATTCAATTTAAATTATTACTTTCTATAATAATTAATAAGTTGAATGAAAAAATTTTTCATACACTCAGAGAAAATTGTACAAGTTTTCATTCTGGATCATATATCTGCATATTACACGTTTATTCGGCATTTTTATGCTGTATTTTAGGAAAAAAACTTAATAACTAGAACTTTATTGCTAAAAATATATGCTAGTTTATTTTATTGGTAATTTCTGGCAACATTTATATGACAAGATATACTTGAGCGCATTATTGAAGTCAAGGATTTTGGAAAGCTTTGGACATATAATATGGAATTTTGAACTTTGGCAAATAGAAATGGCTTTATTTACTATATGAAGCTCAAGGTATATAAAAATTATGTAACTATGTAAATTATATAGTTGTCATTTGGAATTTCGAAAATGGCCCTTTAAATTTGTTATAAATGAAAATTAAATTGAACATATTTGAATATTTTTTTAAATAATAAAGTACGTGTTGCAATTAAAAATAGCGTAAATAGCTTGAAGGTGTCATAAAAATTTTAAAGTAATTTTAATAAAATTATCAATATTTATTTAATTTTGTGGTATTTTTCCCGTCCGGGCGATAAAATACATGCATAAATTTTTTCAATTTTTTTCAGTGTACTGTCTATATCATGATTACCTTGGGAATTTTTTTTTTCTCTTTTTTTTAATATTAATGAAATATTATTTTAATGGAATTATACTATTATATAAATTGATTTTCCATCGTAGTCCACAACAGTTCCTTATGTAAATTTACCGTTTGAAATCAATTTACATAATTGTAATATACAATAAACATTATATTAGAACTCATACCTACATATATTATAGAAATAAATGGGTTTACATATAGAAATTCTTACATATGTAAATGTACGTAAGGTAGAATACACGGAAAAAAATGTAAGTATGTAATTTATTGGCTATTTACTTTATAACATTATGAAAATAATTATTTAATTTACTTTGAATATCAGGATATTTTAAAAAAAAAAAATTTATTTTTAATTGATTCCGTTGAAAACATAGTATTAATAAATAAGTAGAAGAAATATTCTAATATTTTAATATTCAAAACAAAATAGTGTTAAATATTATTCGATACACGCAATAAGTCCGTAATTTTATAAATATTTTATTATTAAAATTATTAATTTCTTTAATTAATGCAAATGAAATTGTGTAACATCTGTTCCAGCATTTAAAACAACATCTTCAGGTGTTGTTGGACCACCAAGTGGACACCATTCATTTATACCAGCATCTTTTCGTGCAGAATGTACAGCATGTCTAACAGCAGATAAAACACTTATAGCTAAAGATATAGCAGGTTCACCAGTAGCTAAAACAAATAGTATAATTTTTTTATACAAAAATATTAAAAAATTTAATGATCTAATATAAAGTAATTTTATAACCTTTCGATCTTAAAAATCCAATTGGATTTGGACTATTCTGTAAAAGATTAACATTGAAAATTTGTGGTATATCAGTAGCTAATGGAACTTTGTATGTAAATGGTCTATCTGTTAATAATTCGCCTGTTAATCGATCATATGATAATTTTTCGGTAAGCCATAATCCTAAAGCCATTATAAAAGATCCTTCTACTTGGCCAATATCAATTAATGGGCTTAAACTTTCACCTGTATCTTCTAATATATCGACTTTTTTAACTTGAACATTACCAGTTAACATATCTACTTCAACTTCAGAACATGCTAAACCAAAAATCATATATGATTGCATTTCACCCGGGAAAACAGATTGTGTTACGTTTAAGGAAACATTTTGTGCATAGGCTTTTTGTATTACTGTTACCCAATCTGGATTTGGTTCTGAAATTGAATCTCGAACTGGTTGAAGTCTTGATTTTATTTCATTACATGCTTTTTGAACAGCCTTAAAAAAATTAAAAATATTTTTATATCATATTTTTTTCAAAATATTATAAGATCATATCTTACAAGGCATATTGTTTCACTTGTACAACTACCAGCACTAAATATTGAATTTGCTGTAACAAAGCTGTTCGTTGGTCGAAACGAAATATTTTCCATTGGTATACCCAAAGAATTTGATGCAACTTGCAAAACTTTTGTATTTAATCCTTGTCCCATTTCTATTCCACTATGAGATATATTAACTGTACCATCATCTCGATATATAACTAAATAAGCTGTTTGTGGAGCAAAATATATTAAACTGTATTGCATAACTGATACTGAAATTCCTTTTTTAATCCAACGATTTTCATTATTAAACTGTTCGATTGCCTCTTTTCTATTTTGATATTCAACTGATTGAACAAATTGTGGTAACAATTTTTTTACTTTGTTATCATCTGCAATATTTTCTAATCTTACATTGACTGGATCTATTCCAATTTCATAGGCAATATTATCCATAATTGTTTCAATCATTGCAATTCCTTCAAAAGTTCCAGGGCCGCGGCACCATGTATTACTTGGTGCATCCGTTAATATATTATTTCCTTTAACAACCCAATTTGAAAAATCTTTATAACAACTATTTATTGCTGTTAAAGTATACGGTGATACTGGACTTTCATTAGGACTCCAGCCTAAATCTGTAAAAAATTCAATGGATGAGTCAAGAATATGCCCATTTGACATGTTCACTTCTATATCATATTCGCATTTTATTGGCATTCTTTTTCCAATTGTACGCATCATTTCTTCAATAGTTAGTACAAACCTTACTGGTCGATTTAATTTGATACAAGCTAATGCAGCTGCGCAAGCAACTTGAGCAGATCTAGAAAATTTTCCGCCATATCCACCTCCTATACGTACCGTTTCAATGTAAATATTTTTTTGGGGCATATTTAAAAATTTTTCTAAAACTATGTGATGCAAATCAATAAATTGATTAGAGCAATAAAGTGTAATTCCATTTTCTGTCGGTTTACAAACAACTGTTTGAGGCTCCATTGTGAAATGATATTGTCCATTAATGCTAAAATTACTTTTAACTTGTTTTTTATGTACACAATCTTTGAGTGAATTTGAAGTTTTGTGAGTTACACTCGAGACGGTTCTTTTAGTAAGATCAGATTTTTGTTTAATGTCATTAAGGGAAAAAATCGGTGATTTAGTGACAGGATGTACTTTTTCATATGTAAGTTTCACTAATTTTACTGCTTTTTTTAAAGAGAATGGATCAGAACCTGAAAATAATCAAAACAAATTAATGTTACTGAACTCAGTAACCAAAAGATTTTAATTTTTTTTTAATTTACCAACTAAAATTCCAACTGGTTGATCATAATACTTAACAACCTTATTTATTTTCAGAAAAACTGGTTCATCTTCAATGAAAAATGGAAAAGCGCCGACTAAAATAAATGAATTATTGCCGGGAATATCTTTGGCACCAAAAAATGCCACAATTTCTTTCATCTTTAGAGCATTAACTGGATTTATACCAATTAAAGTTGAGCCAACATTGGTCGCTGTTACATATGCTGCCCACAATTCTTGATTCATACTCGGTATATCATTTGAATAGAAAGCTTCTCCACTACATTGTATTAAAGCTTCTAATTTGTGAACAGGCTGACCAACAGGATAGTTTTCTGATGGAATGCTATACGTTTGGTTTCCATAAGATAATTCACGTTTAAGAGTATCTTTTCCACTTAAATATTGTGGGGCAATAAATTCTGGCGGTACTAAAGATAAAAGAAATTTATACAAAAGTCCACAAGCGAGAATTCGACGATAATGCGGTCGATATTCATCAAATCCTATGCCTGGATAAATTTCATCATAAGCTTTTGCAAGGATTTGTTCGATAACATTTTCTTCAAGTAAATTTTTATTAATCATGAAATTTTCTGTTTCAGTAGCATGCACAAAATATGGCGAAACATTACCGAAACATAAACGGGCACTCATAATAATCAATTGAGTTGCTGTACTTTGTATTTGAAGTAAAAATGCTGCATTTAACAGTGCGTGTGCATTTTGCGATCGTATCATAACCTCAAAGAATAAAAAGAAAGTCATAGATCAAAAAGCAAAATTCTATAAAATTTGTTTTTACCTTGTAGGATTTAAAGATATATTCATTCGTACTGTATGACGGCAATATAATTTTAGTAATCACCTTCTTGTTCATGTCTTGATTAAGAAAATCTATTGGACTGTGTACATTTCTGACTAAATTATCCATTATTTCTATTTGAGCTTTAATTGCCTCCAAAACTATAAAAATGTCAGATGGAAAAATTAAGTGATCATGTTTTATCATTAAATTTCCAGCTAATCCAGCAACCTTAATTGAAAAGTTCGTAATAAATTTTCATACAAAAATTTAGTAAGTTTTAGAAAATAATTTACATTTCTCACTGCTAAAGTTGCAACTAAACTCCAGTGATTATAAATATCTAAACAATATTCAAATCCACTTATTGTAGACGCTTCTAATAGCAAATCTAAAACATTTGAAATTGTAGTACTTCCTCCTATTTCAATTCGATCAGAAAGAATTTGTTGCATAGAAAGTTCTGATATTTTATTTATATTTATAAAATATTCAATATCATTTGGACGTCTAAAAACGCCATCACCAGTACCACCAGCAACCAGAATGTACTTTTTAGAAAGCACTTCTGTATTAAAAATTTTAAACAACTCAATTAAATCTTGTGGACTAAACCAAGCAGGGCTATTTTTAACTTTCAAATCAACATTCATAATTGGACAAAATAATTCTTTATACTCCTCACTAGAGTTTATAAATTCAAAATCATCACATTCTGATACATGTTTTTTCCTTGAAATTTTTAATTTCTTGCATCCTTTTGTTAAATCTTCTATATCAATAATTTTTTCGTTAGCAAATGATTTCATTGCATCTAATATTGGACGGTAACCAGTACAGCGACAAATATTTCCATCAAATGATTTTTCAATTTCTTCTGCCGTCAAAGGTTTATTATCATCTCTTTCTAGTAAACCGTACATAGTCATTGCCATTCCTGGGCTACAATAACCACATTGAGATCCATTTGAATTGGCTAAAGTTTTTTGAATTGGATGATAACCGTCTTTTTTATTACCAATACCTTCGATGGTAGTAATTTCTAATCCATCACATGTTCCAAGTAATCGTAAACACTTTGTGAAGATTTACAGAAAACAAAATATATGAATATGAAATTTTTTGAAATATTTTAAAATTATCAAAATTTGTAAATTTTTGAGTTAAATGAAAATACTTTTATTGATTCAATATACAAGTTGAATAAATATTGACCACACACGTTTTATAAACGTGTCATAAATACGTTCATTAAAAGAAAATTGAATTACTCATAAAAGCAAGAAATTTTTTTATTCGGATGCCTTCATGTTATAGCACAAAGTTTGTCAAATATTTTGATTCGATGCTATAGTTGAAAATCCTATAGAATAGAAGGTACAGCACAAAGTGACGAAAACAAATTTCGCATTATAGTAATTATTTTTGAATTGAGGCATTCATTCTCTATAGTTTGTATCTAAATAAAAGAGAATCGTATTCAAATAATTACTCATTTAAGTCATAAAAGCGATAATAATTATTGAGTATACGAGATATAATTTGAGAGAATACAGAAAAAATAATAATTTTAAATTAATTTTCAATTAGTTCACTTGATTCTCTTTTCAAATAAGACTCAAAATCTCTCAGTAAACGAGGTCTTTAATAATACAAATTTAATAAACTGTAAATTAATATAAATAATTTTTCTTACCGTATTTAAAGATAAAATTTTAGAAGTCTTACAATAAGGATTGAATATTTTTGCAGTTACATTACAACTACCACAACCACCTTCATAACACATATATTTTGTACCATGTAATCCAATACAAGTTCGTATGAAATAATTTAATGTTGCATCGACAGGATAATCATCTGTATTAACTACAATATTAAAATATAAAATTTATTTCGCTCTAATCTAACTGATGATTAGAATAAAAAACTTATATACGAATATAATTTGATTAAATATGCCTACCCGTATAACAGACAGAATTTACTGTAAAATTTACTTTCATATTTTTTTGTCAAATTTTTATAGACCGTTCTCAATTAATATTCGGACAAGAGTGTACTAGAACGAATGCTAATCGATATTTAATTTTAATTAATTTACAAGTTCTCGTATTACCCGTGTTATGGTGAAAAGAAAATATTTGCTTATTCTAAAATTTTTGAAATTTTTTTCTTTTTTATTTTTATTTACATAACCATGTATTGTGCTATTTTGAACCTAAATACAATATATAAGTAATAATAATAAAAAAAAAAAAACAAGCTGATGAAGAAAATTTTATATTTAATTAAAAATTAAAATAAATATAAAATTATTAATCATTGGGTTTCGAAAATATTAATTAAATATGAATTCATGGTAAATATGAAAATGAAGTATATTCCAATACACTTTTATACATTACATACACAGAACTCTTAAACTGAATAATTTGATATACTATATATGAATTTATTCATTTTGTAGTGCGTAAAATGCCCGTTTTTAAAACTGCAGTGATACTATGTACTGCCACAGAATTAAGCAATTGTGCCATTCAGGAAAGACTACATTCCAATACAGTCAGTCATATTTATTAACTTAGTTTTCCAATTCATTTCTACTGCATATTTTGGTACCTATAATGTTCAATTTGTTCAGAATCACCTACTAAAATCATAGAATTTATACCTAAAATTTCTATTTATTTATGACTATTATTAAAATTGAAATTTAGCGCCTCATTATTAAAACACAATATTTGTACATAATGTATGTGTTTATACCGTATAGATACTTAAATATTTAAAAAATTATATTAATTAAAGTATCTTGAACATATTTTCTTTAACAAGCTCATATGACATTGAATCTTATTTGACCTTGAATAAAACATTAAAATTTTTCCATACATAAATTAATTTTTTTTATATCAAATAAATTTTTAAAATATTTTATATTAAAACAACTTATACGTACATCCATACGTCATTCGATATGTCAAAATGTAAAAAATTGCACTGTGTAATATCGTCTAAAGTAGTTGAAAAATACAAAGTAAAAATTTTTAATATATGAAACACAAGTGAAGCTGAAATTTATTCAATTCAAAATGTGACATAAAGGAGGTATTAAGTATATCGCAAGTTATTCTGGTATGTTCTGGAATATACGAATTTTCCCTTCCCAAATTTATTTATAAAATTTTCTAAAAATTATGTTCTAAGAAGAATAATTAATTACATATTAAAAAATTTCAAATCACAATCATAATTTTGAGTTTCATAACGTAACATTTTGTTAGAATCGCATGGCTATTCAGATTTTTTTTTTGTATCAAGCAAAATTGATATTATTAACTTGCATTTAAATTTGGCAACAACATACGAATTTTTCTGCTTTAAATTTTTTTTGATTCATAAGCTTGCGAAGTTCTATCTGTGAATTTTTGCGAATTGATACGGTAAGGGAGAGGATTTTTATCCGTTAAGAATTCCTTAATGAATTTTGAAACGCATTGAAAATGTAAGGTTAGCCATAGTTCGTTACACAGTGTATAAACTATACAACATAACAGTGAATAAGGAAATATATAGAAGGGCGTAATTTTTGAAATTTTTTCACTTTTCTTTAATTAGCACATGAATGTACAACCTGTTTGTATAAAATCTGTAATATTTACAAATTACTTTCTTCCGCATTCAAAAACAAAAAATGTTCTCCAAAATAAATTCAGTACTTGTTTATTTAAGTAGGAAGAGTAGAAAATATATGTAGGCCTGGACATTGTTTTTCATTATAAACGCAGTGTATTAAAGTGTACGTGATATAACATTACTCACATTGCTTTTAGTAGAAAATTGCTTTCTCGTAAGAGAAAATAAAGCCATGTTGTCAGGAAAAATGTTAGAGGTTTCAATAAAAATTTTTAATGTTAATCGTTAATATGTTCTTTGCTTAGTGTTTGTGACTCTTCTCAGCGATCTTGATCATCTCAGGAACTGAATTGTCATAATATCAAAAATTGGAAAATATGTAAAATTAGTACCAAATATCAAATTTCAAGAACAATATTTTTTACTAATTGAGATTTCTTTGAATTTACACTAGTAGAAAAGAACAGTTATAATTTTTAGCCCTTATTATTTCCGTTTACATAATAATATCATATTATACCAAGGGCATATATTGTACGCTCACTCATCTGCCCCTCGTCATTGTTTCTCTTATTATTTACTAAAATTTAACGTTAAATTTGAGATTGCGAGCTTTTTTGAAAAAATCCCAGTTTATTAACTTTAAATTTGAAAAACACGCATTATAAATACTTTGCATTGCAGTGACATTAATATTGTGGATGTGCGAATATAAATAAAGTGTAATTATGCATGTCATCGGAAACTTAATCCTAAAAAAGAAAAAATGACAGCGAAAAAAATATTTCCAGAATTCTTAAAATTTTCAATCCTCTACTTTAAAAATTTGTTAATAAAAATTATAAAAGTTTTATTTAAAAAAAAAAAGGCACTTGAAACGTGAAATGCAAGAATGTCAGGCTATTCATTTATACCGTTGTTAAACAATATAAACAAATTTGTTTGTGCATGTGTGCATATTTCACGCGATTTTTTTTTTTGGTTAAACCTTGAAAATAATTTTGGACATATAAAAATGTGTTTGGTACTTGTAATTTACAAAAATATGAAGGGAAATGCAATTATTTTTATTTTTTTTTTTTGCAAATTTAATTTCCTTAAAATGTAACGGTTGCCGGTAAATTGAACGGAATATGGAACAACAAGCAAATTAATGTTGGTTTGCCAGTATTGTGTTAATAGTGTTAAATTTTATTCCTTGTATAATCGAAATTCCATAACGTAATTCATAAAATAATTGTTAAAAATCCAACATGTTTATAAGTTACAAGTTTGGCTATGCACAGTAGTTTCCCGTTTCAGGTTTCTTTTACGACCGACAAAATTATTTCTCACTAAAATTTAGATTTTGGCGATTAATTGAATTTTGCGATAACGCTTGAACATAAATGGGTGATTTGGTGCACAATCTCTGAATTGAGAGTTGTTTAACTACATGCTAAATAATAATAAATTTTAATTGTAGACCATCGTTTTATCATATCCTGAGATGTGGAACAGAATGTTGAAACATTGAATTTGTGGTTATAATTACTATATAGATTTATTGTTAAAATTGAGTGCAACCTTAAAACTCCTTAATTTTTATATAATGATTTACGTTGTATGTATGTACAGTCTTCACTATAATTTCAGCTTTATTATGGCATAATGATTGAATGGTATATTTCTCATTTGAATAAAATTGTTAGAATTTTGACAGCAATCATCTATAAATGAATAATAAAACTATTAGAATCAAATATGCGATTATTGAACAAAATTACTATTTTATCGAAAAATATTCAATTACATATACTGTCGAATTTATACAATTTTTTAGTTTTTCGATATCTTATATAGCCTCCAGTCTAAGATTTTTCCATATACATACAAGTTGTTAACTTCTTTCATATACTATTGTATATATACATGCGTACATATTTTAATTTAAGCTAAAATTCCGTATGTACCCATCTAAACTATATGTACATATGTTAAATACCTATATATAAATATTTTATGGTGTTAAAAATTATAAGAGTTTATGGTAATATTCGCATCGAAATTGTTATTAAATGTTTGAGAATACGTTTAAGTATAATAGTATAACACATTTAATCAAACACTTAAGCCTATATTACATGCGTAGCGCTTTTTTTATCTTTCACAAGAAAAGTTCACTAATGGTTATAATATGATTGAGGTGGTATGAGGTAAGTAAGTACTTTTGATTTCAATTAAAATTAAAAAAGAAAAAAAATTAATGATTTTTGATCATTAAATATACTGATAGAATTATGATAATTAATGCGGGTATTGAACTTAACTATAAGTAGTAAAAAAAAAAAATATAGTGTTGCCAATGATTAAAAAATTTTAGTTAAAAAATAAATTGCAAAATTTTGATTATCCCATATGTAGTGTAAAGGTCAATGAAATTCTGATTTCCACCTGAATTATTTTTATTGCATTGCTTCTTTTGTTTTTCCATTCTTTTTCGTATTTTATATCTCCGTTTTTGTAAATGTAAATTCGAAATAAAAACAGAATAAGTCGACATGTATGTGCGATATATATACATAACTGTATACATTTCATATATCGCACATTGGAAAGAATATCGGCACACCTCAAAAATATAATTTCGACTTTCGGGATTTGTAGTATTTATAGGTGAGTATAAATTACTATCGAAGTCTAAAAACCGTTGGTATATAGAACTATTCCACAAGTATATGAACAAATTTTCTGTATATTATTTTGCTACAGAAAAGCTTTGTATATTAATAATATAATAGTATAATAAAAGTAAGTTTACAACTCTGCATTTAGGCTTATGTCATTGTTCTCGTTAACGTGCGATATGTAGGCATACATAATAAATTTACCAACATGAATAATATGATAAATTTATGAGTATGTAATAAAAATAAATTTAATTTTAAAATTTAACCTATATTTAAAAGTATATTTCTGTTTAAAAAATAATTGGATATTTCGTATATTATTTATTTTAAAATCAGATTAAATTTAAGTTCTTAAAACTTATTTTTCATTTCAACAGAACGTGGCGTATTCCACTAAACGCTATTATTTAAGGTCCTATTTGATTTGATTTGATTGAAAGATTCTTGAGTATCAGTGAGATAAAAGTACAAAGTTATTTTCTTCTTTTGCATATCGTTTGTACTCTCTATAATTTATTTAAGTGGAAACGACTAAATTTTTTTTTAAATTTTTAGAATTATTTGAATAATTTCATAGCACGTTTAATTTATATTAGAAATTATTTTCTTCAAAATAATTAAGTTAAAAAATAAATTATAATAAAACCAAAAATTATTACGGCATTTTTGTATATAAGAACCGTTTTTTTAATTGAAATTGTGTTATACATATACCTGCTGTACCATTGACATAGAAGATGCCAGTTTTGTTTTAAATACCTACTTATACCTTAACAAAATAAATTATTTACAGGCAAAAATTATCATGACTCATAAAATTGCAAATGTTAATTAGGTGGTCATATCGCACAAACACACACATCCGTTCATACTAGAAACTGTTTTCTCACCTGGAATAATGAGGAAGCCCTTATTAAATATGAATATTAAGAAAATATAAGCAGATTTATTACTTACCTGTATAGAAAATCTTAATTACATTAAATACATCTTTAAAATAGACCTAATTATAATGTATAAAGCAGCATTTTTAAGTCAAAATGTCGACATCGTAAAATCTGCTCGACCGACAATAAAACGTTTTGAATTTTATGATATACACAATTATTTCAATTTTTAATTAAAAACTCAATAGTTATTAAAACAAAACCATCTTGTTTAAATATATGTAAAATAGTGAAAAGTGTTAAGTACATACATAAGTGTACCAATCAATTAAAAAAGTGATATTCATGCGTATATACAAAAAATTTTAGAAATATTAGAAAAGTCATTATTTTTTTTTAATGAAAGAGAGAAAAATTTGTTAATTTCAATTTGTCAATATTAATATTGAAAGATCTAATCATTGTAATTGGCATATACATAGGGTAGTGTACGCTTAAATTTCATCGGAATAAATTAAGGTACAGAATATATAAGATTTTTTTTTTACTTTTTTCATTTATGAATAACAAAATTTATGCTATAAAAAAACTTGTACAATATAATTCGAAATATTGATTAATTACATAATTTTTTTCACTTGTTATATTACTTTTTCAGAAATAAGTAAGTAGGTAAATTGTTTGCTTATAATGAATTATTCATAAATTATTTATTTTATATAAGAGGCTAAATTAAAATTAATATTAGAATTAGAAACTATAGAATTTTAAATAGTTAATAAGCCCTGATTTTTGCGCTGACCATTAATTTCTTATCTCAATGTCTGCATCCTCAGTTTTGTATATGTATGTAAATTGCCAAATTAAGTAATTAACAATATTGGCTACTTATATCGATATCCATAAGGTTTTTGTCAAAAAAACAAGATCAAACTGACAAATAGTCATACGAAATTTCAAACTATTTCTCACAACTGATAGTATCTAACAATAATGCTTTAAAGTATACACGTACTCGTAATTAATAAATGTGCACGTAGTCTTTAATTTAACTGTATAACAGTTAACTGTATAACAGTTTCTTCTTAAAATTTTTCATTCATATAAAGATTCTTTTAATTTAATTTTGAATTATATTAAATATCATTTGATTTATATTTTAATATATACATACATATATCAGTTTATACGAGTATGTATAAGAGTGTACCGGAATATTAAGTTTTCTTTCAATCTGTTCAACCTTTCCGTTTTGCGACAAAAGTCATCTACATTATAGTCATACATGTATGTATATTTAAACCAGTTTATTTAATATTATAATAATTATATTATTATAGAAATTTTCTCTCTCTTTTTTCCTTAAGAAAAAAAAAACCAAAAATAATGAAAATAAAATTTCGCATTCCATTCCAGACGACCGATCAACTCTTAAAAGCTACACATTATACTTGTAGTAGGTAGGTACTACCATTAAAGAAAAATAACAAGGATTATAACTTGAGTAAATTTAATTTATGATCATTTGATCAGTAACCGTCTTTGAAATAAGAGCAAAGAAAAAAAAATCGGTGGAATATTTATAATAAAAAGTGATTTATCTTAAAAAAAAAAAATAAATATTTTTGAAAATTAAAAATAATTTTTTAAATTTTTCGCTTATTTAATAAAAAAATAAATTATGTCAGAATACCTAATATCGTTGACAATAGATGGCGAGCATTATGCTTGTAAGTTTTCCATTTTTTCTTAATTTTTTATACAATTCAAATAATCAAGACTTGATTTAAGACTTGATTTATTCAATGTCAATTTTATTGATTGTAAAATATGTGTTTGTATAGATGATTATAGAACAGTTACAAAAGATATGACACTATTGGAATTTATAAGAGAACGTGCTGGATTATTAGGTACAAAATTTATGTGTCTTGAAGGTGGTTGCGGTTCATGTACTGTTGTTATTAAAGGAAATGATACAAATTCGGGAAGACCAATTGAATATGCTGCAAATTCGGTAGGTTTCTTAAAAATTAAAAAATTTTTCGGAAAAAATTTTATTTGTGATTTCTTGTGAAAATTTATAAGTACTCGTACATATTTTTGGATAAAGTGACATAAAAGCTGGTCATAAAATGTTAGAGAAATTTTTGAACGCAGTGCTATGATTCAAATAATTTGAAATTGAAAATATTTTTAAGGACTTAATTTCTCAATATCACGGATATTAACTTTGTATTAAAAATTTTGTTGTTGATTATTTAAGAAAATTAGTGACACAATAATTAATTAAATTTTTTTTACAATTTACGAAAAATATGTAAAGTATTGGTGCAAATAAAATCTGGTCTTCGTAAATCTTGTCTTAACTTACCATTTCGAATGTTAAAGAATATATAGGTACAAATACCGGACAGGCTTTTCCTAATTGCTTCAGAACTAAGTTGAATGAACATTAAAAGAGGTGAACAAATTAAATTTTGTAAAAGAAAACAAGTTAATCGAAACGAGTGTTGTAGATATTATGCATTCTTTTGTTTTTTTTTTAATTCTTACATTTGAATGGCTTTTTTTGTATGAAAAATAATAGGTGTAGTTTTATTGAGGCTTACAATGACAATTGATTTGTATGGTTTTAATAATAATTGTGTATTATGCATTGCAATTTGCATATAGGCAACAGCAAAAGGAATTTAAAATTGTAATCTCTTCGTATATCTTTGAGAATAAGAGAATCGCATAATATCCAAGAAGATTTTTTTTTGTTATACTTTAGCCAAATTGTTTTTGTTAGCACTTTTCCAAAAATTTTTTGAAAAAAAGTGCTTATTAGTTTCACTCTGTCCGTCCGTCCGTCCGTCCGTCTGTCCGTGTGTCTGTTTACAAAACTTCTACACCCTTGAAGATAGAAAGCTGAAATTTTGTATGTACATAGATCTTCACTAGAAACTTATTTCCGTAGAACAAAATTTTTACCTATCTCCCCCCCTCTAGAAGTTATATCCACCAAAACCTTAAAAATTGCCTTTTTTAACTGTTTGTTGCAATGAAACCATAAGCAAACTTTAGAAAAACTTTAGAAAAACAAAATGGCCGTTTAAATTTACCGTTATCTAAACTCCTGTTTTTCCAAATTTTTGATGTCGTTTTTCTTCTAGACTCCAGCCTGTAGAAGCTTGAAATTTTAGGGGCTTTTAGACATTGACAAATAGTTCATTTCGTTAGAGAAAATTTTTTTTCCAACTCCACCCCCTCTCAAGTTATCGCCCCTTGAAATTTGTAAAATTTGAATTTTTGACACCCTATATCTCCGAAACCGCAAGCTTTTTCAAATTTCTATAAACACAAAGAGCTAACGGTAAATTCCATAACATTCAAAAATATAATTATTTTTCTTAACTCGCACAATTAACCCTTAAAATCGAGCATTATATTAACCCCTCTTTATATTAATTTTTGCTTTATTTCAAAGACTGCATGTATGCATCATCCTAAATATATGCAATCCTAGAAATAGTTTTGTATATGAATGAAAATAATTTTAGTGTGATAGGTATACATAGACTGTATTTAAAAGCAGAATTTTCACTTGTTGAAGGGAAAAGTGCAAACCATTCGTTTGACCCAACTTTATTTTAATATGAAATAACCAATATTAGGAAATGCAAAATTTGGCAACTTTAATTCTGTTATTGTGGAGAATTTCTAAAATAATTTTTTTGGATGTAAGATTTTTTTGATACCAATCTCGTATTTTAATTTCTTTTTTTAAAGAAAATATTCGCTAAAAGAGAAATGAAAAAAGAACAGATCAGATGCGGTTTTCTTAATATACTGAATGTTTTTGTTATTAATTTCGTTCTGTTTTAGGATGTTGTACGATAAATTGCATAAAAAATTTTACTCGTGGGTATATGTACATAAATGTATACATGTCTGAATTTATGTGTAAATTTATAATTTAATCAACAAAAACTTGATTTTTAGTAAAATGAGAGTTATATTATGCTGGAATCAAACTGATATACAGACGATGCTCTTACGTAACATGCATAAAATTTTGTATATATGTGTAAGGATACGTTAAATAATGATAATTATGCAAATCATAAATAATAAAAATATAAAAAAAGTTGACCCTGAAGATGAGGTTTACGAAAAAAGAGTAAATATTTTAAATGTTAATGAAACTGTGGAAGAGATTTTTAAAAATAGAAGTGGAATCATTTGTTTTTGATTTTTATCTGAGTATATGGGTACCAAGGCGGGGCCAGCCTTCCGCAATTGTTTCAGAACTAAGTTCAATGTACAATAAACACTATATTATCTTCATGTTAATATGTGTGATCTATATAACATACTTTCAGAAAGAGGTATAATAACAGTATTTTAACTTATACAATCAATTGGAAATTTAGAAAAATAATCCTGTTTTGAAAACAAAAAGAGGTTAACCACCTTATCCATACCACATTATATCATGTGTACTTAATGTAATATGTGATATAATACTAATTTGTTATAGACTGCTATACAATATGAATTTCTTTAAAGGATAATTGTTATAAAATGAAAATTCATGCAATTTGTACAAGAAAAAAGTGGTTGATTTTCTCTTTATGTATAGTTATTCATTTGAAAAATATATTCCAGTTTTTTGTTTTATTTAAATTCGAATCATAGAAAATTCATATCACAAAATGATCGCTGCATATAAATGAATCAAGAAAACAAGTAATAAATTAACAGCATCAATTGTATTCTCTGTGATGAAGAAAAAACTTATTATTAGTGCAAATGTTAGAGGAGTTTCCTATACAATTTTTGTTTGGTTGTACAAATGGAATTGAAAGAAAGTTTTGTTATTAATTAAATTTAAAAATTTAAATGGACTGGTTTTAATAATATTTAATTAATATAAAAATTAAAATTAAAAAAAAAAAACATGGTGATTTTTAAAGTTATCAATAGTAGCTATTATAAAATGATATTAAAATAATAATTGTGTAATAATTTAATAATTTATTACAACAACTAAAGGAATTTTAATAAAATTTCCTCAATTTAAATGTTTCACCATACACATTTACATGTACACATGTATGTGTATATAACAGATTTCAGAATAGATGTGGCAATGGTAGAATATAGAACCAGAAAATTAAACAAGGATTTAATATTATAATTGCATTGCAAAAGGTGAAGCAATTATGAACGAAAGACAGAATTAAAAAAATAATTTTTGAATAAAATAAATTGATAATTTTACCTCGCAATTCTATGGTATATTTGTTAGGTTTTCTAATTTTAGAAATGATGTCAATTTTGTTTTTAATTAAAATTTCTGTTATTTTTTAAAGAATTCAAGTATAATTTTTACAATTTTTTTAAAATTCCTTAAACGCGCTATAATTTGTATGCAAGCACATAAGAAAAATTTACCAGGGCACCAGTTTTATAACCAGTTCTATTAATTATTTTCTATAATAAAAAATCATTAAAAAATTATATGAAAAGCCTAATTATAAAAAAGTAGCTATTACAAACTAATTATTTTTTAATTAAAAAATTTGATAAGATAAATTTTTTAATTTCATATTTAATGTAAAAAGTACATTATGTAGCAGTGTATAATATAGTAATAGAAAAATTAAAATTATTACAGAGTGATTAAATAATAATTTACGGTAAATATTAAAGAGAATTAAAATTTAATATCCAAACGAATAAGGTTTTCCAAGAAAAAGTACAAATTTATTAAGAAAATTTTATAAAACTTTTACTTACCTAAAATTGTTTTTTGTAATAGTTTCCGTTTTAAAAAGCTTCAAATGCAGATTGTTTGAAATAGCTAGTAAAATCCATGAAATTAAGATATTATTTTAGATTAGACCGTATTTTGTATGTAACATGCTTTCCCAATGACTAAGGAAATTTTAACAAATTTAGAAAAATTCAGTTTTCCCATGGATTTCTTCATTTCTTGTTTCCCATTCTCTTAGCATCGGAATATGATCGGAAATGATTAATTTTTTTTCATATTTCTTAATTTGTTCAAAATTAAATTCATAAATCAATATTATAATAGCTTCTTAGGGTTGAGTTTAAAATTGGTATAGCAATTCTTATTAAAAAAAAAATTTTTTTTTGTTAATGCCTCAAAAAAAATTGATTTTGTTATAAAAACATCAAATTTTGAATAGCCTACTTTTACATGATTTTAAAATTTCTTACAGAACTTGTATTCTAATTACTAGTAAGTATACCCTTGCTACGGAAACATGCATTTATTAATTTTTTTTTCAAATATCACATTTTCTAATGTGCAAATTTTACACATTATACGCGTATACATAAAATACACTGTATGTATGCATTTCTATATCACATATTTTGCTTTTATGTACATAATTGCTTCCACATTATTTTAAGATTTCTACAACATTGTAAAAATTTTACTAAAAAACAAAAACGCCTAACTAGATTAACTATATTTATGCACTTGTTAAAAACATAAAATATGTACGTAATTTTTGATTTGTGACTTAAAAGTGAATTTGTCACTTAAAAGTGAATTAAGAGAGGAAAGAAAAGAAAAACAAAAACAGGATTTTTATATTTTCCAATACAAGTTTTTTCTGTTTTTCGTTTTTTCTTTATAAATATTTTTATATCGTATAAGTCGGCAAGTCATACTTCTGTTTAAATTTATGTACATATGTAATTATTATTCAACATGTTAATTGCCTATTATTTACTTTAATTACATTCTACTTATTTACATTCAAAAAAAAAACAATTCATATTTTGAGTAAAACTAAACTATGAATTTAAAGTTGAAAAATTAATTATCTATAGTTAGCAGTCTAAAAATTGTTAACCAAGAAAATTGAAGATATTTTTTTTGAAATTTTAATTATATGTATTATACTTTATATGTATAACACTTAAATTTATAACATTGTCAATCTTGGATATTTAGATCACGTTTATACAAATTGCTTAGATTTTAGTTATAAAAAAAAAAATTAACATTATTTTTATTATAAGCTCTTCAATAATGTTTATTACATAGTATTATTAATGTGACCATTTTGGATTTTATGTGTTATACATATTCATACATACATATGAGTGTACATATGTAGTTACGGCTTGTATAAGGAATTTTTGAATATTTTTAATTGCAATAGTTTTTTAAAATTTTCTTAACATAGAAATTTTATAAATTTTGAACTAGCATGAATGCTTGAAATTTCTATATTAAATGTAGAGCTTTAAAAGTGAAATGAATTTGGGACAGATTTTTGAATGAACACTTTATTATTATTATTATTATTATATAATTATTAATTATAAGAAAAAAACTCTGCCAACTCTGTGATACCCGTACGAATTTGTTATCCTGCATGCGAATAAATATGCCATAACTGACTATGGGACAGACTATGACTTTAAGTTGCCGTATTACCATATTAATTTATGCAAAATTTCAGTACTGTATTTTTTCAAAATACTATGTGTGCCAACCTACTATTGAAGTTGTATGGCAGCTACCAGAAAGAGTCAAGAAATTTTAACGAATTTTATTAAGCACATCGGCCCTACTAATATATTCACTTGTGTGAAATTTCAATGCCACAGCTTTTATAGTTTCTGAGGGTTCCCTGACATCTCATCATACGAGACATTTCATCATTGTAACATTTCATCATTGTAACATTTCATCATTATAGCAATTCATCATTGCACATTTCATCATTATAGCAATTCATCATTATTGTATTTCATCACCATAACATTTCATCATTGCATAAAGTGCATTTTGCAAACATAAGTACATGTAGGTGTAATTAAGTAATTAACATACTGAGCAATTTTGGCAACATGTTGAAGCAGTTTGCAGTTTTGTTGCATAGTGCAACTAATGAAACAAAAATTTAAGAGGATTAGGATGTAAAGTAAATTTGTACAGGTAATTAAATTAAAGGACATATTGGTTTCACTAATTTTGGTTACTTATCCTTTTTACCACGTAAAGGCAATTTTGTTTTTTGTTTTTTCTTGACTTTATTTCATATATTTATTATCCCACAACAGAATTCATTACAGTAAAACACAAAGACATTACACACGAAACAAATTTAATGTCGAAACACACAAAAATGTATCAAATCACTTCTTGAAAATATTTCCAACTTTCTGACTCGCCAGGTGCATAGACTCCTGTAAAAAAGGGTTAATAATAAAATATAACATGACTGACTAGATTAAGTTTTGAGTTTATGGTCTGCTACTGCAAATTAGTTAATTTTCTCAAGTACTTCATTTTATCCTCTTCATTGTAATACCCCTGTACAGCTGCAATTATCTTATCATTTAATTCCCTATACTTCTTCTTTTTTGGTTGTGGGCGACCATCTTCAGTGATAAAATGTTATGGTGATGAAATACAATAATGATGAATTGCTATAATGATGAAATGTGCAATGATGAATTGCTATAATGATGAAATGTTACAATGATGAAATGTCCCGTATGATGAGGTGTCTGGTCACCGTTTCTGAGATATAGCTGAATAAATTTTGAAGTTGTATGGCAGCTACCCGAACCGGTACCCCGATCATGCCCAATTTAAATAGGGTTCTGGCACTTACAATAAATCATTTGCAAAAATTTGGTGAAGTTAACTCAATTAGTTTTTGAGATATCGCTGGGACGGACAGACGGACAGACAAAGCTAAATCAACTCAGGATTCGACGCTGATCAAAAACATACACTTGAGTCTATATCTAAGATAGTTATTTCTTAGCGTTACAAATGGTAAAGCAAATTTAGTATACCCTTCGAACATACGTTCGTGCGGGTATAAAAACTACACATTGATTACAAAATATTGCTTCTTCTGTATAACACACTTTAGATTACAATTGATAAATTTTGCATATTTATGGGCCGTATAAAAAAATTTATTGAAAATGTTTATTGTATTTTGTAGCTATAGCTATTCGTATTTTTTATCAATTGTCGAAATTTTGACATAAAAAATTCTTCTCTTTTTATTAAATTTTAAAATTCAAAAAATCAAAATTTTATTTATAGTGTCTTGTACTTGCAAATACCCTTCATAATATGAATGTAACAACTATACAAGGAATTGGTAATCGTCATATTGGTTATCATCCAATACAAGCAAGATTAGCACAATTAAATGGATCACAATGTGGTTATTGTTCACCTGGTTTCGTTATGAATATGTACGGTTTAATGAAATCAAATGGTTCACATTTAACATCTGAAGAAATTGAAAATTCATTTGGTGGTAATGTATGCCGATGTACCGGTTATAGATCAATATTAGATTCAATGAAAAGTTTTGCATCTGATTCAATAACAAATGAAGAAAATTTAATTGATATTGAAGATATCACAAAACAAAATTGTTCATCAAAATGTGATAAAAATTCAAAATGTTGGAAAAATTGTAAAATTATTTTTGGAAATAAAAATATTGATTTGATAAATGATGGTTATTGGTATTTTCCATCAAATTTAAATGAATTATTTCAAATATTTGAAAAAATTCCAAATGATGAAAAATATATTTTAATTGCTGGTGGAACAGCACATGGTGTATATAGAAGACCAACTGATGTTAAACATTTTTTTGATATAAATGGTATTCAAGATTTACATTCTTATTCAATAAGTGATAATATGATTACGATTGGAGCAAATGTTAGTATAAGTAAAACTATGGATATACTTTTAGAAGCAGCAAATCATCCAGGTTTTGAATATTGTTTAGAAATTTATAATCATTATGATTTAGTTGCACATAAACAAGTTAGGAATGTAAGTAATTATAATTACTTGATATTTGATCACCAATATATTCAATTATATTTATTAATTATAGGTTGGAACATTAGCTGGAAATTTAATGACAAAATATCAATATAATGATTTTCCATCAGATATTTTCTTAACAATGGAAACTGCTAATGCTCAATTATCAATAATAAATGGCGATGGTACAACATTTTCTCTTAGTCCTTTAGAATTTTTAAATTTAGATATGCACAAACGAGTAATAGAGCATATTACATTGAAACCTTATCCAAGAAATATATTCTTTTTCAAGTCATACAAAGTAAGTACTATATGGTACTCGTATCTATTATTAACACAATATTAAGTATTTTTGAATTACTAATAATCAATTCTTGTATATTTTAGATTTTACCTGTAGCCCAAAATGCTAAAGCTATTGTAAATGCTGGATTTTTAATTGAAGTGGATAATACAAGTTCTGCAAATCCTACTGTTCATTCAGCAAGAATTTGTTACGGTGGAATCTCATCAAATTTCGTTCATGCTTCGGAAACAGAAAAATATTTAATTGGAAGAAATTTATTTCAAAATGATGCAATTACAGACACATTATATCCAGAATTAAAAACAGATTATTATTTACCAGATACTTCACCTGAATATCGAAAATTACTTGCATGCGGTTTATTTTATAAATTTTTATTATCAATTGCACCAAGTTCTATTGTGAATTCTGTAAATCGATCTGCTGGAGATATATTAAGACGACCGTTATCACATGGTACACAATCATATCAAACTAAACCGACAAAATATCCGTTAACACAAGCTGTCCCAAAAATTGAAGGAATTGCACAAACAAGTGGTGAAGCTCACTATTCAAATGATATTCCACGGTATCCAAATGAAGTTTTTGCTGCATTTGTTACTGCAACAAATGTCAATTCAATTTTAACTCAAATTGATCCAACAGATGCTTTACAAATACCTGGTGTTATTGCTTTCTATTCAGCTAAAGATATACCAGGAAAAAATTCCTTTGTCAATACTGATTATTTTGTTCTTTTTGTTGTTGATGAACCAATATTTTTACCATTAAATGCTGAAGTACAATATTATGATCAACCTATCGGTATGATTGTTGCAGAAACGACAAAAATTGCTGAATCAGCAGCTAAATATGTAAAAGTTTTATATTCTCATCTTACGAAAAAACCAGTTACCCCCACAATTAAAGAAAAATTTAAATTATATCCAGAGCTTGCAAATTTAGAAGGTAAAAAAGCTAGAGAATATACGCCATTAAGTGTTGAAGAAATGTTTAATATGACTGGAAAACCAAGCGAAAATAAAGCATCAGATGAAAATTATGAATCTTCTAATATTAAATCAAATCCAAAAGATTATGAAGTTGAACCTATAGGTCTTCAATTAGAGGACTTATCATTTGATGATGTTGATTTAGAATTAAATAATTTTTCAGGTTATTTATATTTAAGTGGCCAATATCATTATACAATGGAGCCTCAAACTACGGTATGTATACCAATTGAAGAAGGTTTCCAAATATATTCAGCAACACAATGGATGGAAGGAACACAAGTTACAATAGCTAGAATGTTAAATTTGCATCAGAATGCAATACAAGTTGAAGTAAGACGTGTGGGTGGAGCGTATGGGGGGAAAATTTCACGTAATGCTCAAATATCTTGTGCAACAGCCTTAGCATGCTATTTACTTAATAGACCTGTTCGATTTATAATGTCAATTGAAGCTATGATGAGTTGTTTAGGTAAAAGAAATGGACTTCATAATTCGTATCACGGCACTGTGGATTCACGTGGAAGAATTGTACATCTTCTATCGTCATATTTCTCTGATTGCGGTTGCACAATAAATGAAAGCCCTGTCAATTTATTTATAACTAAATTAGCAAGAAATTGTTATTCAGCCAGTATAATCAATTGGAAAATTGTTGGAGTACCAATAACAACTGACGCACCGAGTAACACTTGGATGAGAGCGCCTGGATCATTAGAAGCAATATGTATGATTGAAAATATTATGGAGCATGCATCTAGAGTATCTAATATAGATCCAGTTGACGTCCGAATGATACATATAGCTAATGATAACCCTATGAAAAAATTATTGCCTCAATTCATTCAATCCACAGAATACAGGCAAAGAAAACAAGCTTTAAAAAAATTCAATGAAACAAATCGATGGATTAAAAAGGGAATAGCTATTTCTTTGATGCAATATGACATTTTATATTTCTTCTCCTTTCCGGTTACGGTTGTAATATACGAGGATGACGGTACTGTTGCTATTACACATGGAGGCATTGAAATGGGACAGGGTGTAAATACAAAAGTTGCACAAACTGCCGCACACATTTTTCAAATTCCACTAGAAAACGTTAAAGTTTTTCCTAGTAATACAATAACAGGGGCAAATGCTATCGTATCCGGTGCAAGTGTTACATCCGAAATGGTTTGCTTTGTAAGAAAGCCAAGCTTATTTTACATTTAAAACAAAATTAAAATTTAGTTTTTAATTTTAGGCAACAAAAAAAGCCTGTGAAAATCTTTTAAAACGCTTAGTCCCAGTAAGAGCTACATTACCCGGAGCAAGCTGGTCAAAAATAGTTAAAGCTGCACATGTACTAAGCATTAAATTAATAGAAAGTGATCAAGCTACTATGCAAGAATTAAAAAGTTATCAAATACCGGGATTAGCATGCACAGAAATTGAATTAGATGTTATAACTGGAAATCACATGGTTAGACGCGTTGATATTTTAGAAGATACAGGCGAAAGTATGAGTCCATTAATAGATATTGGACAGGTTGAAGGGGCTTTTATACAGGGACTTGGTTATTTTACAACCGAGAAGTTAATTTATAACAGTCAAACTGGTCAATTAGTTACAAATCGAACTTGGACTTATAAAGTACCGCAATGTAAAGATATACCAATTGATTTTCGAATAAATTTCTTAAAGAATAGTCAAAATAATAATGGTGTTTTAAGATCTAAAGGTAAAAATTTTATTTATTAAAATTTTGAAAAGTATTTTAATAAATTTATTATTGCGATAGCTACTGGAGAACCTGCTATTTGTTTATCTGTTTCAATACTATTCGCTTTGAGAATGGCCCTTGATTCAGCACGAAAAAATGCTGGGATTGAAGAAAATTGGTTTCATATGGGTGCACCATTTACAACAGAAGATTCGGCATTATTTTCTGGAACAACCGTAGATATGTTCAAATTATAAGTAATTAAAGTAAATCATTTTAAATGTGTATTATAAAATCAATTAATTTTAAAATTTAACTAATAATATTATTCAATTTTCTAAGACTTTACTTGTTATAATATTATGTATTTTGTTATTATGAATATTAAGTCATCTAATAATTTAGGATTTTATTTTGTAAAATTGTTATTATTTTGTTTTGCAACTTGCTAAGCTAAATAAATTATATTACTAAAATACGTAAATGTTATGCCCTTGATATACCTTGCAATAAAGTATTCAAAAAAATCTTTTTTAATAATTAATAATTTATCATAAAATGAGTTCTTTTATAAAACACATATAGTAAATGAATTAATTTTAGATAATTCTAAATTTAAGCTATTAAAAATTAAGAATTTATATTCCACAAAAAAAGAAACAAAAAATTTTAGAAATATTGAATGATCTAAATAAATTTATTATTTTTAAGTGATTATATATTTACAAACTTTCTTAAAATTATTACAAATTTTCTTCATTTTAAGAAAATTATATTGATTATAAATATATGCCATTTGCTTTAGTTTCTATTTGCAAAAATTTTTAATATTTTCCTTAAAATACATTCATGAATTCTCAGCCATATATAAAAAAAAAAAATAAAAAAAAAAAAACAAAACCTAATTGAATGAAATAGAAAATAAATTTTAATTTGCGTACTAAAACTATTTAGGAGAAATTACAATTTTAATTTTATTTTAAATTTAATTAATAATTTAAAAATATGATAAAAATATAGAATTTTGAAAATTTATTGTTTGCCGTAACATTTTTTTTTTTCATTTAGTATTATTCTATTTAATTTTTTGATTCGCTATGATTTATTTTTTTTTTCATAAATATTAATGGAAGCAGATTTTTTTTTTTATTAGAAATAACAATTGTATTTTACTATTATGATATTATTTTTTAAATTAAATTTTATTATTTCATTTGAATATAATTAAGTATGTAAATATTCTTGTATAGCGAAGAAAGCAAATTGTATTATTTTTTATTATTGCTTAATTTTAATTTTATTATTTTTAACTGTTTTTTTGAATAAATTTGACAAATATTCGAAATAAAAATTATATCAATTTGATAATGGTTTTGTTGTCAGAATATAAAAGGAAATTTAAAAAAATAAAACAATTTCTAAACCATCAACTTCGATTGAATTAATACATAAAATGTATAAGAATTTATAGCTAAGAGTGACTAAATATTTATTATTTACAACTTAATAAAAATTAATGTTTTTAATAATAAATTTTAAAGTACAAATACTTTAGAAAGTATTTTCATTTTCTTAGATAGTTTGTAATACTACAATATTAAAATAGTTTTATATTGTTTATTAATTATTTTTTCAAAAAATAAAAACAAAAAAGTTATTTTAATCGTATGTATATAAAATAATTTGTTTTGTCAAATATTAAAATATATTTGAAATTTTCTATTTTTTTATTTTTTTCATCTATTATTTTATTTTCTACTTGCTAAACTATTTTTAAAGAATATTTTTTTTTTATATTTTTTATTATAAATGTGACCCCTTCATCCATTGTGAAAATATTTAATATCAAAAATATTCAAAATCAAAATTATTCAAAATATAATAATAAAAATAAAAGAATTTATTTCGTGGCAGGAAATTATATCGGAATAAACATACGAAAAATAAAAACAATATTAAATTGTTTTTCGTTTTGTTTTTAAGATATTAAATAAATTTTATAAATATCAAAAATTATTAAAAAGAAAAAATAAATGTTAAATTGAACACAACAATTTTATAATACTTTAAAAGTATGGGTAGTTGTAATATTTTTAAGTTAAAAATTTAAAACAATAAGTAGATTAAAAATAAAGAAATATGTTATTAAAAACAAACAAATTTTCTTTATTTTAAATAAAAATATTGTATATTAAGTAACACTTTCTTTAAGCTCTTTTATATTTTAAAATTAATTTCCGCAGTCATCATATGTTTGTGACAATTTTCTGTTATTTTGTTTCTATTAAGAATATTATAATTTTATAATATTGTATGTATTTTTCGTTTATATTTCCTTTAATTAATTTAATTTCTTTTTTTATTTTTTTGTATTTTGTATATTTAAATATCCGTTTATTTAATTAATATGATAATATCATAATATTTTAATTTCAATTATTATTATTGATTAAAAAATTAATAACGTGAATGTGTCACTGGTGATTGAAAAGCTTTCATTACAAAGAAACCAATTACTGTTGCAGCAGCTATCCCAAGACCAGCTTTCCACCATATTTGAGGATCTTCAGTCATTAATCCGAATTGACGTAAATGCCTAAAAAAATTTATTAAAAAAAATATAAGATTAAAAAATGATGGAAAATCAGAATATTTTTTGTTTTTTATTGAAAACTATTAAATGCATGCATTTAAGAAGAATTAAAATGCTTTAGCACCAAATCAATTAGAAAAAGATATGATTTACTAAATGTGATTTACTAATAAAAATTAAAGGAAAGAATTTTGAACAGATTATAAATCAATGAAGAATAAGATCCATTGCTGAACATGCTCATACAGTGAATATTTATTAAAAGAAATAATTAAATGGAAATTTTTAATGAAATTAAATTATAAAATAAAAAATCAAAAATGTTTCATTTGTTTTTAAATGGTAAAATAATGTGATATCACTAAATACAATAATTTTCAATCAAGAATCAATCTTATAAAACTTTTAAAATCAATTAAAAACAAACTATACAGTAATTTTATTCATGAAAAAAAAAACAATACATTAAAAAATTCCTGATTTTTTGATCAGGAAACAATTGAAACTATTCAATTATAAAATTCACAACAAAAATTTGGCAAAGTTCATTCAAATTAGGAATTAAAAATTATAAAACACCCTATATTTTAGTCATTTTAATTAAAAATTATCCAAATTATTTTTTATTAATTCATTACTCGTAAGCAATTTGATTGGAATTCAATAATTCTGATTAATTTTAGGTAATAAATAATTCAATTAGTCAACAAATAGAAAAACTATTTCAAACAAAGTCAATTCAAACATTTAATTTAAGTTTGATTAATTAAATTAAAAACAATAAGGAATTTTTCTTTAAAAAAAATTATTTTGTAATTGGGAATTTATTTCGATGAAAGACGAAACGTCTTAACAAATTGATAGACGTTGCAATAATTTTAATTGCACTAGGCATTTTATATTATTAAAAAATTTAATCCCTTAAATTTCATTATGGCACTTTCATCGAAACGAATTCCCGGATATTGGTGACTTTTCTACTTTTTGTTGTATTTACAAAATTTCAATTTTTTTTTTTTAAATTAAAGTTAAACATAAAATATATGTATATTTTTTTAAAATCATAATTAAATAATAGCGTTATTTACAAAATGAGTTAAATATTAAATTGAAGAATAGCAATTTAATAATAACTTTACACTGCAGTTTGCTTCACATTTTGTATTTTATTTTCAAATAATATAAAAGAAAGAAAAAAAATTTATATGACGTTAATTTCATTGTTTATGGTAATATCACACTTACGTTGATTCCCAAAGCTGTACCAACCTGTGCTTATAGAAGAGTATCCAAGCAGCTTGGAATCGACTACAATAATTTTGTATTATTTTATGAAATGTAGATATTTTTTTTAATTCGGTTTTCGGTTTACGTTATACAAACCCAGGATCAACAACCAACCAAGGAAAAAATACAGTAGTTTATTTATTTTATTTTTTTGTTTGTTTATAATTTATATTTTAGAAAATATCGACCGCATCCAAAGTTCAAATTTAAAAAAAATAAATAAAAAAAAAAAATATAAAAAAAAGTAAAAAGATGTGAGTTAAATATTTTGAAATATTAATTATTATTGATTTTGTTTTTAAATTTGTTAATAAAAACTAAAAAAATAAATTCTGCAGAAAGTTAAATTTGAAAAATTTTTTAAAATCATTGAAAGCATAACCAAATGCCGAATGTAAATAATGAAGTAGAAACATCTACAAAATGGATATGAATAATAAATTTCCATCCCAAAAAAGTTGTTTTTATATTAAAACATTACAATAGTATGTAGGTTTTTAAATGATCAAATTTTTAAGCGCGAGCGGTATCCAAAAGGGAACAAATAGAGCTATGAACATAACACTTATAAATTAACTAATTTGTGAACTTCATTTTGATTTGATATCGCTATGATATATGTACATGCTTAAGACATACATGATCGAAATTATTATGTATGAAAATAAATGGGTTTGAATAGAACTAACGAAACACGTAATTATGCAATATACACGCTATATACTTATATACATTTCAACGAATATTGTCTAAATTGTTTTAATCTTGTATTATATACGAGTTATCATTTTGTTAAGAAAAAAATTACAATAACGCTGTAAATTTCAATCTTGAATAATGTTAGTTTATTTTTAATTGAGAAAGCATAATTTGGAAACTAAATATAATTTATCAGTGGAATATGATTTAAAATAAATGAATATAGCATTTTTTAATATTTACCAATAAAGTATTATAATTCTCTAGAAAAGTACATAAACATTTTGAATTGGCAATCTTAAGCAAGCACTTAAAATCGCTGTATTTTTTATTTATGACATTATTGCAGTATAACTCAACTTAAGTAAGCATTATTTTTATCAGATATTCTTTAGAAGCTTTTAAAGTTTTGGAAAAAAATTAAGATATAAATAAATTAATTTTTTTTTATTTTTCAATTTAAATTTTAAAATGAAATTCTAATAGTAACTTAATGCTTTTTACCTAAAAAAAAAACAAAGCCCTCCTTTAAAATATTTAAATGTTTTGATTAAGAAAAAAAAAAAAGAAGAAAAAACTAAAATACTTACGGAAACGCGGCCATTGTTGCTAATTTTGTGTACAATTCCTTTTTATTTGATTTTAAACTAAACATATGTGGTGGCAATAATTTATATTTATCGCAAAACTCATTTGGTTGTAATAAATAATCTTGTCTTACTTCGTCTAAATCGCCTTTTGTTCCAACCATTATAACGGGTATTTTACTTTCCGCATAATATTTTATATAAATTCTAGCGATATATTCAAATGACTGTGGATTGGATGCATCATAAACTAAGCATGCAACATCACAATTGATTTCTTGTGGTTGTAAAGGATCTAATGCTTGTTTAACGTCAATATCTCTTAATATTAAATGCTTTTCTTGCCCATATACTTGAACGGTATTCACACAATAAATTATATTAGAACGAAATTCTTTATTAATCAGACTTTTCATATCATCAACTAATAGACCACGGCATAAACCAGTTTTACCAGCTCCTTTTGGACCAATTACATGACACATATATACCGAACGGCTACTTTGTCTTTTAGCTAAATCTATACGACGTTCTCGAGTTACATGTATTGCTGATAATTGTGTTTCATTTTCGTGAACATTATAGCCTAAATAACCTAAATACTCTAACGTTTTCGGTACATCAATTAATGTCATTAAGGTCCATCTACACATCCAACCATGAAGTGTAACTAAACCACGATCATTTACGGGACATGATTTTCTAATATCAGTTGAATATGACCATGGTGCTGATGGACAAGTACTAAATAATATTTTATGTTCTTCATGTGATAATGCGCCTAAAATATTTTAAATAGTAATTTGTTTCTATTATAGAAAAGTAAGATTTTAAAACATACCATCTCCATCTCTGTCATATCTTTCAAAAAGTGCTACTAAAAATTGTTGACCGCGATGTGATAATTCCGTACTGCTACCTGGAGGAATTTTAAGTGGTGGTTGTAAATATTCCTTGCACATATCAAGTGTTTCAGTGTAACCGAATCGCCTCAAAACAGCCCATGTTGTTTCATTACGGCCCCTTTGTATAAATAAACAATGTAAAAACAGAAATCCTTTTAAAGTAACTGAATCGTTGTATATTCCATCTGGAATATTTTTCATTATAACAGCTTTTACTTCATCTAAAATTTGTGGTTGTAATGGTGTATTGAAGCAACGACGTTGGAAAAGATTTAATTCATAATCATTTAGCAAATTATCGCCATCAATGTCACAAATACGAAATATTCGGACAAGAGCCTTTTTACACATTGGTGTTAACTAAAACAAATAAAATATTATACTAAAAACATATTTTTTCTATTCTATTACTAAAATAGTATTTTTACTTGAATTAAAATATATTTTGATTTTGAATTGCTAATCAATTCATTTAAATTTAAAGAATCCATTTTATAATTTTTTCCTGATTATTACTTCTAATTCAATTGCACCCGGTAACATAATGTGTTCAAAACATGAATTACTAAGGCTGGTTACTTGGAAACCAACTTAACATTTCAATATTATGTCTTATTGGTCAAAATTTCAATATACACTACAAATATACTCACATCTTGTTCTTCCATTATATAAAGTGGTGATGTAGGATGGAGAACTGCCTTTTGCGCGTAATAAAACATTTCTGAAATGTTGTGAAGGGTTTTTGCCGAACATTCTACACAACTTTCCACTTCAGGAAAATCTTCCATAATTGTTAGTACGCTCTACAACATTTTTAAATTTATATTTAAATTATTTTATTTATTCTAAATACAATGTTATTGCTATTTACATCAATAGTTGAATACTCCACTAAGTCGATTTTATTTCCAACTAAAACAACGGGCTTACGCTGGTCTGCATCACAACTGCTTCTAATAAATGGTAACCAATGTGATGTTATCCTTTCTAAAGTTTCATCATCGTCCACAGCATAAACAATACAAACTACATGACATTTTTGAATTTCTTCTGATAGCTGCTCTTCAGTTTGCTCAACAGCTAAAAATTTCAATTAATATGTATTTCTTGTCATGTGAACAAGTAAATTTATGATTATGAAAAAAATTTGTAAATTTGTATACCTGATGAGTCAACGATATTTGTTGGAACTTGTTCCGGTGTTACATTTGCCGGTATTGTTATTTCCTCAGCCCGATTTGGAACATCTTCCGGGAATTCTTCACTTACTAATGATAAAATCAATGACGTTTTACCAACTCCCCGGTCTCCAACTAACAAAATTCGTACATTGCGCTTAGCATTCCAGCTAACCATTTCTTTTACTATTCTATATTTAATAAAATTAGTTTTATAAAAATAATAATGAATCAGAAATTTTCTTTATAATCAAGAACGAAGTACAAAACATACACAAACATACATACACATATGTATATCTGCAAATATTTGCAACTTACCTCCAATTACTTTTTGCAACAAAATAATTTTATATTAGAATATATTTTCACCCTCACAAAATTCAATGTAAAACTAATAATAACAAATAAAGCGCTTCTATTCTCGGCAGGGGTATTAATAGCTGCACATCATTCATCGGACCCCCAAAGGCCCGATTCTACAGTTTATTAGGAATCAGTATAATTAAATGAAACTAATATTAAATAAAATTTTTAAGTAGTTTTTGACTTCTTCAGTTAATTTTGCCAACTACTATTGGCAAAATTATATTTTTTTAAAATTTTGAATTAAATTTTGCAATCACACTTTTTTTTTCACAAAATTACATAAAATTTAATTTTTTTTTTATTCACAAGTGTCATATGTCACACGTTTGTCTAGCGGTATGACATTTCAATGTTTTGAAAAGTACAGAGCTATCTGTTATCAATATTTAAAAACACTTGTACCGGTTTACTGGTTCATTTATTTTGTAATGGAACGTTGGAATTGATCGGGAGGGTAAAATATTTTTGGTTAGTAACTGTACTAAATTTGTTTAAAATTTGTTTGTTTCGATTTTATACCGCTAATCTGATTCTTGTACCCTGGTCGCTTTGCGTAGAATAGGGTTATCCTTCAGTCAACGGTAACACTAGTGTGCTTTGGCTTTGTGTTATACTTATGTTAATATTAAAAAAGTAAAAATTTAGAAAATTTTCTTTGATAAAAAGTTTGTAAAAGAATTTAAATTATGTTGAGAATGTATTAAAGAATCCACAAACAGGAACAATTATATTTTTTTTGGTAAGTCAACTTATAATGAGTTATTAAAGAATTAAAATTTTAAGTTGGTAAATGCTCCAATTTTATATTTTCCAGTACTGGACATGATATTTTTAGATCCGTTTTACTATCTTGGTCTCACCGCACGCATAATATTAAGAATTATTGTTTAGTTTTAGATAGACCAACATCTATTATAAAATATTGCCATTAAACATTTTGAATTCTTCAAATAATAACAAAACAGTGTACGCAGGCGATTTTGTAATTTAACATGCATATAGAATCTCAACCTGATGGATTGATTGATCAAAAAGATATTGCTAAACATTTCACAACAAAACCATACGTGCCTTCTAATTATACATATACATTAATTTAAAACATTTTAAGTCTCGTGTTACGACTACAGATCTTAGGAGAAATCTACACACCATATTTATGTATGCATTTAAGTATGTATACCGCATAGCTACATGCAACAGATATGATATGTACAAACAACACAAGTGCCGTTATGTCATGTATTAAACTGACAAGTAAATTGTTAGATCAAACCAAATTTTACAATTTAATCAAAACCAGTAAATTTAGGTGAATTCAAATTTGAAATTAAAAAATCAATTTTATCAATCAATAAAAGAAATTATTTACATGCAAAGTCTATGCAAAATTATATAGATTTCGCAAAAATAATAATAGGTTGGTAGATATAGATCCTATACCAAGGAAAATAAATATTTATTTGCAACAGAAATTATTGTAACTTAATTTTCTACTTTGAATCAATCCCTATCTGACGTTTTGAGTACATAATTTTTACGCAAAACTTAATTTTTCTTTTAATATACATGATTAACTTATTTATTGTGAATTTAAATTATAATAGACAATGACGAAAATATTGTTGAATTATTTATCAAAAATTTATAATTTATTAGCATTTTAGGTGCTGCTGGTCTTGTTAGTACACTAAGAATAACAGTAATTACCAATACTGAGGAGCTTATTAGGAACAAATTAGGAGGAGCTACTCTAGGAACAAATTCAATATGAACGGGAGATGCGGGAGCATAACTAGATATGTAACTACTTATGTAAATGAAAAGTAATCATTGCTATAAATTTTCAATATCCCAAATAAAGAAAGAAGTAACAACAAGATTAAAAAATCATTTGACTAAAGTGAAACGGGCAAGGAAAAATAGAAGTTTTCAAGTTTTGAATTTATTGATTGAATTTTGCGATAAACATAAATTTCTAGGTATACTCGTATATGGCATGGATTAAAGCGGCGGTTAACTTAAAAGTCATCAAATAGGTTAAGAAAAAGAAAGTTATGAGAACATACAAATATAAAAATCCTAGGAGGATTAAATGTAAAACTTACCTAAGATACAGTAAGTAAGTAAATACAATTTATTTAAATTAATATCTTAAAAAAAGTTTTGCAATTTTAAAATAATTTTTATTATTTTAGGTAAGATTTAAACCTTAAGAAACCTAAGGCAACCTGGGAATGAAAATGAAGTTAATGCGTATACATATATAATGAAGCCACAAAATACATATGTTTTTATGTATAATCAATAAATATGCAATGAATAATCGAAAAATTATCAATAGATATATTTGATGAATATTTTTAGCACTTCAATGTACCTTATTACATTTAGTTATTAAAAGAACTTTGATCTATCAGGATAATTGTGCACTAAAATAAATTTTACTATAAATAAGTAGATAGACAAACATAGTTATTTTAAGGTAAGATGCATGTAGTACCTATTCCAATTCATAATAATGTTAACCAAAATACCTATGTCTACTGCTAATAATATATAATTATGTATGTATGTTCAAATAACAAAGATATGAACAGTCTATTTTGTATAATTTTTTTTTTTTTTAATAAGCCTGCTGTCAATCGTAAATTCATATATTATAAATGAATAAAAATTAATAAATATGTAAATATACATAAACGCGGACCTATGAGAGCATTTTACAGCACGTATGTATATATGTATAGCTTTATGATTTTTGATATATTTATACAGATGAAGAACGTTATGTAATCACATGCTTTGCGCTCAAATAATTTTTTTTTTTTGTAACTTTAAAATTAGATTGCTACGGTATTTATGCATAGCTATGTAGATGTATGTATAAATTAAAAAAAATATTTTTGAATAAAATTAAAATTTAAGAAAAAAACATTTTTTTTTTCAATAATCGAAAAAAGTTTCACTTTCATTATTATCGGAAAATTTTTTTTTTTCATAAATATTTATGAATTGATTTTGTAGTGTTCGGTTGTATTTATAATATAATGTACTTATGTATGTATTTCTGTTTACATTAATTTTTCATAAAAAAAATAAAGGAACAATTGAATTTTTTTAATGAAATAACCGTTTTTAGGTCCTATAAAAGTTTCTATACTAATATAGAAATGAAAATCTTCCAAAAATGTATGTCTACATTAATATACATAACGCATCATTTAATTATTAGCAACGCCGCGTTTAAATTAGACCGTTTTTTGAATATTTTGAACATTAGGTATTGTTTTAGCATAAATACTGAAAATATACATATTTATATATAATTAATAAATATATTTATGTTTAATGCTTTCAGATAACATTTACCCTACAATATCCCCAGAATAATAGAATATATCGAAAGGTGGATCTATTATATATCAGGTGTCCTAGGCTAATATAATTTCTGGAATGGAATAAGCCGAATAAAATGTAGTATCAACTCTGTAGCATCACAATTTATACAAGTAAGTGCTAAATACTTATTTTAATTACAAAAAAATGTTAATACGCATGTTTTTAAAAGATTTCGTATTGTTTGTAATAAAAGGGTGGTGCGGGAGATTGTGTTCCACGCAGTAGGTTTGTCTAATTACAAATTAAATTTTAAATTAAATGAAGAAAAGCTCACACACATTTTCTAGTGATGCTGAAATGCTAATTTTTCCATTAAACTTGAAATTTTTTTAACTATGGGTTTTTCTTTCTAAAATTAAAAAAAAATTTCGATAATTATGTAATAAGAAATTAAATATATGAATACAAATTACGTACGTATTCCAACACATTTTATATCTACTATTTATTTATAATAAAATTTTTTTATGTTATTTAAAATATGCATAATTTTATGATGAATACTTTAAAATTCATATATGAATTCAATTTTACAATTCATATTTTTTAAAAGAGGCCTCTTAAGAGGATTTTATCTTTTATGATCACAGTTAGCCACATTTTTTGGAATATTTAATGTAAATTGATATAGGAAAGAAAATATTACTAATTTTTAATATTATTTTCTAATGGAAAGCATAAATTAAGTGGAATATAATTATTTAACAGTTTTATTTACATAAGGACTATAAAATTTATAATTATATAATAAGGAATGCATAAATACATATACATAGATTTATAATATTATTATTGATAATATAACGAACAAGCGAAGTTTCTCATGCATTCTTCTCAATTCGAAGTAGAAAAAATTCCACTTTTATTTGGTCAAATTTCGGGCGGAATTGTGATTTATATGTTTTCTGATTCAGAAAAACAAAATATTTTACGGACTCTGCAAAATAAAACAATATATCAAATAAAAAATCGCCGGCCCTCGGTGAGCAAATGATATCTCCAAAACTTAAATACTATTTAAGCGTTTGTTCAAGCGCCAGTGTTCTCTTCATAATGGAATGGAAATTGAAACATTAGTAGATTTGATATTAACAACAGTCATGCTATAATTTAAACTTTTTAAGGAATAATTTTTTCGGATCTCGCCGTATTGAATTACACCTGGAATCTGTATACAAATTGATTTTTTTTTAACCGTATCATTTAATATTTCTTTTCGATTTCAATTAGCCTACTCATATTTTATGAACTTTTTTTCAATTTTTTTCTTCATCTTTTTAACATATTTAACTGGATGATTGTTATATGAACGAAAAAGTAGGTACTTATGTATACCTGTTGAGCACATATTATTCATTTTATCATTATCGGACATCTTCACCAATATAAGTGGTGTAAGTTTTTATTATATTCCCCCTTTCATTTCTCATTTCTTTTCTTCTCTGCACATATACTATTTAATAATAATTGAAGTTAAGTAGAGAAAGAATTTATAATACGCTCTGATGATGAAGATAGTAAGATGATGATGACGATGTTGATGATGTTGATATTGATCGAATGAAATATTAATGAAAATTTCAATTATGGTGTTATGATTTATTGTTAATAATTATTTATTATGTGATATGAAAGATAAGACATATAGGTGTAACTGACACCTTTGACATTTCAAAAAAAAAAAAAAAAATATTTATTTTTTTTTTTGCCAACTTGTTTATTCATAATTGTTTAAAATATATTGTTATTAAAATATTTCGAAGATAATTGTTTTTTCAGTTGCGGATATTTCCGTTTTCATTTGAAATATAGCTCTGTAACTAATGATTTTATAAATGAATTAATCTATATGTATAATAATTTAATTAAAAAGAGTAATAGTAAGGTGTTTCATTCAAAACGAGATGATGTA